GCACACATCCACACCTCTGACAAAACTACAGTATTGTGATTTATTAATAAATTCACTTGGGGGGGGGGGGGAAGAGGAAAGTAGGGGGAAAAAATATTACATTCCCAAGCCAGAGTGCAACAAAGTCCCTTGTGATACTCACTGCAGCAGGGAAAAGGAGAGCTACTGAAGGAGCCACCAACATCAAAACCTGCTGAATTCCTGTTCCCCCCAGGATAATACCTGCACGGAAACTCTTTTGTTTTGGCATAATTCCCTGCGCAAGGCACGCCTCCAGAAAGCAGGGCTTCCAGAAATAATATCCCAGGATGGGGAGCACCGAGGAGCCAGGGCAGTAACCTTCACCCAGGCCTTTCAATTCAGTTTTGTGTGAATTACATCAAATTGCTGTGTGTGCTTGTGCTGGACGCAGAGCAGTTGAAAAGCTGCTCATTTCCCCACCAAAGCAGCTCTTTGGGAGTCGATTGGTGTTCCCCAGGAACTGAAACATGGCACAGCATTGGAAATGACAGAATAGCACAGCGCAATTTCACTAAGGATGCACAGGATGTTATAGGAATAATATTTTTCTGAGTTTGAAGACTGAAGTTAGAGAAGCTCTCTACAATTTGCATGTGAGATGCTGCTTCACTCTAGTGGCAGACACTCCCCAGAGCCCAGGCTAATAAGCAATAATTGGTAATGGAGAATGGGATAGAATGGGAGCTCTCCAGCCCAGGGCCCCCTGACCCACGGCAGCACTGGCTGTGGCTGCTCATCCCAGAGCTGTGGATGAAGCAGCACAGGACATCCCAGGGAATGGCACCAACCTGGCTTCCGAGTTTCACTCCTGGAAAACCACTACATCACAACAACTTACACTAGGAAAACATCCAAACAGGGAAATGCACATACTTTAAATAATAGCTGACTTCAATTATTTTCCATAAGTTTTCCCCCTTTTTGTTTTTGTTAGATCACACTTAATATGATTCCACGACACCGATGCTGGGGATGAAATTGAAAGCTATATTCTTCTAAATGTGTTCCCAACATTCCATTTTTTACAGAGCTGCCAGGGGCTATTCTGCATTCCCACAACGGCTACAAATGTAACATATTGTTTTGCAATAAAAATTAGCTATAAAAGTGTGAAAAACGCCAGAGATCCAAATGTGAGAAACAAGAGAAGGGGGTACGGCTTTCGCACACTTTTAGTGGACATTTTATTTATTTTTCAAATGGAGTAGACATATTTATAGCTACTGTATTTCAATTATCTCTAATTTCACACATTTTATGCAGATTCTAGGCATTTTAATTGCAAATGAGGAGGGAACTTATTTTTAAAAGTGGAGCAACACAACATTTCAGATCTCAATTTTAATTCCAAATTTATCCACATCACTGTTAAAAACTTTTAAAACCTCGTTTACACTGTGACTTAAAATTAGGTGCGATTTCAAACAAAAACAAAAGACCTCCATACCTATGAGTTAGAGCGCCAAAACCTCTCTCACACATTTTCACATCTTTTCTTTCTGAATTAAAATTTTTAGGTAGGAAAGTTTGGGAAGCTGAAATGACATTATTAATCGGTGACACATTATTTCAACAAGAGTCAGTAATTTAATAGTATTGTCCATAACTGATGAAAATTAATACATTGCCCACCCTATTTTCTCTTTCTGTCTCTGTGCCTCCAATAACCCAGGGCATGGGTTATTAGCTCAATCCCTGCTCAGCCGTCACTCAATGGGAAATTCTTCCAAGGGGATAAAACACAGCTCAGCCTTTGGCTGGATAAAAATTCCCAGCGTACACTAAAAGCATTAGTGACAAATGCTGCTCTTTTCCAAGTGGTATTCCCGGTAGCTTACTCCTATGGAATGCTAATAGGCTAAATAAAATGTTTGTGACAAATTCCAAGCCACCTGAACCCGTGCTGGTCTGAGGCAGGGACAGTTTTCCAAAGGATCTTAGAGCTCCAAATTAACCTAACAGGTTTAAAATCACACATGTGCCTATAGAGCCTTGTAGGATGGGAATCCACTGCTTGACTTCATACTGGCCAATGGAATAGATCTTTAGAAGTTCCAACTACTTACTGAAAGGCATGAAATAATTTTATTATAAATGGAAATTTACTGTCTGGAGCATGCGGAGTTTTTCTCTGCTTTCTTTCTATTTGGTAATTTATTTAAATGCATTCCAAAATGCATTCAGAAAATGAGACATAGCACTTTGGTTAAGACATCTGTATTTCAAACCAACATCTTCAGAACTGTGAGCAGCTCTGTTAATAGTCTTTTTATTTGATTAGGGTAATCTGCTACTGTGCTGTGTTAATCTTTATCCACTACCTTTTAACCAATCAATATTTTAGGTTTATAGATTTGGAAGGTAGGCGATAATTTTGTAGATAAACTCTCTAGGCACTGGTGACATGGTATGGTTGCATATTTAATATCTTTTCTGAGGATTCACAACTCCAGCAGTGTAAGAATCTGCCCAGGGTTAAAAAAAAAAAAAAAGTTAAACCTTAAATTTTCAAAGCTGTACACAGGGACTTGGCCACCTGCCTCCTATTAATGTCAATGAAAATTTAGAGGTAAGAAAAGCAATGTCTTTTCCCTCAGATCATTCCTGCTTTGAAAGGAACCAGAGAACAAGAGAGAGGAAATTAAAAGCAACTTCGTACCACAGGCCAACACCAGCCAGGCCTGGTGGTGAGGCAGGAACAGTACAGAGGCAAAACATTTGTTCACTAAATGAGTGAGCATCTCCACACATATCAAAAGAGCCAGGTATGAAAAGTTCAGAAGGAAAAAAATTAGATTTTCTGGTTTTAAAATGTCATTAATATATATCTTTTTTAATTTTGCTCAGCTGAAATTATCTGTTGCTTACGATATTAATTTTGCTGCAGATAAAATTAGTTGTCAGACCTCTGTTTATGGCCTAATTACCTTTTCTAAGGAAAAAAAAAAAGGGCAGAAGAAATAAAAGAAAGAACAATAAAATGCAGTAATCTACTTCCCAGCAAGAAGGGTTCCTAGTGATGTGTTACCTGCATGGACTTTACCAGAGCCATGCACATGTTTCATACACATAAAAGCAAATCTACTTGGGCTGCTTTGCCCATCTGGGCAGTGCCAGCTTCTGCCTGGGGACAGGCAGGACAGGCCAAATCACCCTCTATTATTTCTAGAGAACTGGGAATCTTGCAGTGATTTGAGATCTTTCTAATAAGAAGCCAAGTCAAGAAATGTGAGGGCAACATCTTTTAAAAAAAGCACTGTAAATTACTAATTTCTTCCCAAAATGTTTCTCCACTTTGCTTCCAGTTTTGGAAAAGGTAAATGGATTTTTCATTGGTTAGAAGTGGGTGCCAGGAATGCCACTGCAAAGCATTGTAAAGAAGACTTGTACAGACTGAACCTTGTGTTACAGATGTCAGAACCAGCACATTTTGTCATGTCTCAGGCTGATTCTTCACCAAGGAGCAGAAAGACAAATACTGAATATTTCCTAATAGCTCTTCACATTCTACGAAGCTCAAAATTGAAATGAATTTTTACAGTACTCCTGTTAATCAAGCTGGAGCCTCAATGCCACCTCAATTGCAGCTCAACCTGGCACAGCTTGGGCGCAGCACAGACAGAAGGTGAGCGAGCCTGACCTCAGACAGAGGCTGCCCTTTGAAGTGTTCTGAGCAGCAGTGCCATGAGATCTGCCCAGCTGCATTTTGGAATATATCTGACAAACAAAAAAATTTGTATCTGTGTTCATTTCACAAGATATAAACGTCTCTTTCGTGGTAGGAGAAATCCTGCTCCCAGGAAGTGATCCTAATCTAATCTGACACGCGGTATTTGTAACCCTACTTCAGTGTCCCAGCCCATTTACAGTGTTTACATAAAACCCCCCGAAATCTCCACGTTCCCTGAAAAGTTAATCCAGTACAAATATTGACTGGCTGTCAATTGAGCATTATTGACTTGCTCCAGGACTGTGCTTTATTGCCTTAACTGATGAAACTTGTTTTCTTTGCTAAACTCAATTTCTTTGGGCCCCCTTTGGATGAAATGCCATTTATGAGCCTGCTCCTCCTCCTCTGACAGCCTCTCCCACCGAGCTCGAGTGGTGGGACAGCCTCAAAGCTTTGCAGAAGGAAGGCAACAAACCCACTCTGTATTCTACAAAGAAGACCTGGCCCAACACCAGTCCTATCTCCTATAAATATTTTGTCCACACTGTCTCCAACACATTTTCCTCCTTTGCTTATACAGAGAAGTGTCTCCAGCAAGGCTGGAAAGGGGCTGTGAACCCTTCAGTGAGGTCTGTGAAAAGCAAACTGATTACCAGGAGCTGAAATTCTCACTCTGGCAGTCTATAACCTTCACTGGGAGCAGGTGGCAACGTTTTTTTTAAGGAATTCTGAAATTCTGAAAGCTAAAAACCTTGGATGTCTTGCATCTCTTTATCAGGAATAGTACAAATCAGCTTGTCCAGAAGGCAAAGTTCATGAAACACACACACTCATCATGTTTTGAACACCCAAGAAAAGATTATTTATCATTTCATTTTTTTTTTACATCTGTGGTCTCCAGATACAGCAAAAGAGAAACCAAAAATAGCAACTTTCACAACATTCCCTGATTCTGCAACAAATTCCATCAACCATTCTAAGTTCTGATCCCCAGGTCAAGTGAGACTGACAATAAATCTTAGGAAGGATTTGATATCGTTAAGCTGCAAAACCCAAAAATCCATTACAAAAGATTTATCTGAACGTATAAAGAACAAACCCAAAACGTTTCAGTCAGCGTGGGGAAGGACAAAAGGGTGCCATGGCAGCCAGGGGAGGAAGGGGAGATCCCGAATGACCAAAGCCAGTTACAAAGCAAGTATTTCTCTCTGATCTCACAACAACATTTAGGAAGGAATCTGCCCAAAAATGCAGTTACCGCAGACGTGGGGGTTTGCTTGTGAAGGAATGTACCAGAGCAGGCACTTACAGTTTGCAGAGCTCCATCTGCTTCTCCACACGGGGCCACTCCTTGAGCCCTGCTCAGCTCCAGGGCAGGATTTGGGGCCATGATCTGCTCTTTCCTCTGTTGTCATGAGCTGCCTGGAGAGAGGGGCAAGGAGAGGGAAAAACAGGGATGTGTCACATTGCTACAGCTTCATTTGATATTCCTTGTAACTTTTCACATCTGGCTCAGGTGGGGAGACAGTCCAGTTCTTTAATCAAACATTTTCAGACCATCCCTGTAGCAACTGAACAAAGCCGTGACAGTTTCGCTCTCAGTTTACCAATAACATGAGCAAGTTTGCTCCTGCCTAGTTTATTTTTTAATTTTATTTTAGCCCATACAAGTAATTTTTTCTACAAGGCTTCCCTTCTTTTTAAATGAAAGGCTTCTTCTGAACACTTGACAAATGGAAGAATCCACCCTATAACACCAGCTATGCCAAGAACGCACCTGCTCTCTGCCAAAATACTTTGGCTGTCTTGAACGAGGTTAAATGTTAACATTTTCATTAGTCTGCAAGTTTTGGGGGTGGGTTGGCATAAAAATAAAAAGCAAACAAACAAGAAACCCTGGCTATGACAAATTTTACTTTTTTGAATTAAATGTGGCTGATAGGATTTTTAACAATTTTTTCTTTTATCTTTCAAATCCTGCAAATGAATTCAAGGTGTCTAAGCCACTTTAGTTAAGAACCTGCATGCACAGAATTATAGCAGAGTCAGGAAACTCCTGCAATCAAGGCTCCAAGGGACCCCAGATGTATTTAAACCAACCACAGTCACACCATTAGCATGAAGTGCAAAAAGTGCCAAAACAAGACAAAAACACTGACAGCCCATATGTTTAAAAGCTTGGGTTTTGCTGTTGCTCAAAATCCTTCCCTCCCCACATACCTGTACATAATAATAATCATAATCACCATCATCATAAAAAATAAGCCCTCAAGATCAAATAGTGGTATCTTAAGAGAAAAGACGACGACAGGCTTAGGAAACCAAATCCTTGTAATAAATAATATATGATGAGCTAAGGAGATGAACTGACAAAGTGGTGCACCTCTAATCTCTCCCCTGCAAGAGAGGGAAGAGCTGAATCACTTGCACAACGTTTTTCTTTGAGCATGGTCAGGGGTTGCTCCTCCACTCCAGTTTCTCAGCAAATATCATGCTCTACTCATTTCCCAGCCTAAGCTACATGTCAGCAGCAGAGCCAGTTTTCACCTGCAATTTCACAGTACCAGAATAAAATTTTGGAGCATTCTCTTATTAATATGCAATTATTTCAGAGCAGGTTTGACCTGGAGATGAGAGGGTCAAGCCAGTGAAGTCCTGCTGGACACCAAGGGCCATCTCACTCAGGACTCCCAGCTATCCTTTATTCCAAACTTGAAATGACACCTCCACCTAAACAGCAATTTTAAATAACAAACTACACCAGGCAAAAAAAAAAATAATCCTGCAGCGTGGCCAAGATGCCAGGCACATAAAGAAAATTAACTGGCCCATATTTCTGAGCAATAAAATCAATGTCACCTTTTTATACCTTCAGCCCCCTTGTCTAATGTCCCTCAGCAGATTCCTGCCAGTGCTGTGCAGCCATTCCAGGCAAGGCAGGGGTAAAAGCCTGTGAGCAAGGACTTCCCACCTTCCAGCAGCCCCATCCTTCTCTACTGAACACATTCCTTCAGTTTTTCCTCTCTCAGCTTTGCCACCTGGGAAAAAAGCATCACTAAAACATTCGGGACCTAAAAGCACAGGAGTTTTTCTAAAAAATATACACCTTCCAGGCAATAATTGTGTGTGACACATCACACAAGAATTTGGTTAGCCCAAGACAGAACTTCAATGTAAAAAACAAGGGGAAATAAAAAAAAATAAAGGAAGACAAAAATAGTGCTTAATCAGTGATAAAGCAGTAGATTTCAAATTGCAAAATATTTATTTTTGACTTTATTATTATTTTTGACTTTTTTTAGTATTGCAGAGATTTTACAACTACACAACAATCCCCAGAAGCAACTGTGCCCACAATTATGTCTAAATGGAGCTGTTACTGGTCAGCAGCTCAGAGGACCACAGTGACACAGCTGAGACTCATAATCCAAGTCAAACACACACAAGTAGGAGCACTAAGAAAGTGTAAGAAGAGTATTAAGGGATTAAGAAAATTCTAGAAAAAAGCCATGTCAGTGGCAAATACAAGTAATTGGTTTTCCAAGTTTGACTCTTCTTCAGTGGTGTTAGGGACAACCCCAAAGAGAATTGAGAAACGAGAATATATTTTGCAAAACATTTGTTCACAGCCCAGTAATTTTGCATTAAAATCAACTCACCTCCCAAATCCCTTTTCTCCTTCACCACATCCCACACTCATGTTTACCTTTTCTCACTGCTGCTACATATTTTTCCCTGCTGAAGTCTTTTATTTTCTCACCACAATGCGAGTGGTTGCCAAAACTGTGGCTGGTTTGGCCTTCCCAGTGCATAGCAGTGGGAAAAGGAATCATCAGTGCAGTGACTGACAGCTATTGCTGCTGGCAAAGGCAGGAACTGCAGTTGGATTTTAAAATTATTAAAAAAAAATAAAGGGAAAAAAAAAAAAGGCAGGAGAGGAAAAGGGGGGAAGACACCATTTTTTCAGCCCAGCTATTTGAAAGATAATTGCTGTAATTTTGTCTCTCCTCAATCTTCCCACTAGGCAAGCTTACCGAGGAAGGCAAATTTCTGGTTCTTAAAAGTGCTATCATTCACACTTTTCCAGAAGAAGTTTGATTAGCTTGAAATCTACACTTGACCATTACAAAATTCTAGGACAAAAACTAATAAAATGGGGGGAAAAAAAAGTCAAAGAAAGTGAAACAGAAAGACCAAAAAATCCCCAAAGAAAATAATTCAAACCCTATCCCCACTGCTGGAGAAAAGAAAAAAAATATTTTCACTTTGTCTGGCACAGTGTTTTCATGTTTTTTAAATTGCTCTGTATTTTCACAGCTTCAGATATTTCTGGAATACGGAATTTGCATTTTCTAGGTGGGGAACACTGCCAAAGTTGTTAATCCCAGGCAGATGTAAAGTTGCACCACTATATTGCGATGTGGCTCCTTAAAAACAACCTAAAAACATTAAAAAACATAAAAAACCCACAAAAAACCAACCACCCAACAACCACCACAAATATCCACTAACCCATATGGTCAATAATTGCTGTTTAATAGTCCTCCTATTACAAACCTAAAAAGCAGCAGCCAGAATTACCAGTAGAGTATTAATAAACAGGAATGAGTTAATAGCGCATAAAGACCTTCTAGTGGAACAGTGGGGGAGTTGAATATTCTTTTCTTAAGTCAGCTGTAAGTAATTACTACATGGTGTGCTTCTGACTATTACCATAACAGAGCAATTGGACGTGAAGAATGGATAATAGTATGGACATGGAGGTATTTTTAGAATATCAGCAGTGAGGCAGGTAAATGCCCTACCCGGGCACAAACCTTTAAATAAGTTGAAATAACTTTTCCTAATGACACCTAGCCTGGGCAGATTTCTGAAAAGATCAATCTAATAAATTATTAAAGTAACTTTATAAAGACATGGCTGTGATATGTAAATAAGAGAAACAGCAAAAAAATTCCCAGCCATTGAGCAGGCAGGCAGCACTGCAGTAAGTGCATAATCACAGGTTTCTGTGTTTCCTTTAGAGCAGTGCCTTCCTCTGTCTGAACAGGGACTGTGCTCCGCTCGCCTCCGTTGGCTGCTCCGGTGCAAACTCCTACATTCCATCAGGAAGGGAGCTGGGAGTGCAGGACTTGTGGGGCTTGGACAGCTGAGGTCATCCTCAGTGATTTAAGATCCCATTGTGGGAGCATTCAGGGAGACACAGCTCCGTGTTCCTGGGACCATCCAACAGCAAGTGCAGGAGGATATTTTGTCCATCCACAACCATATAAAACCAGCCTGAGACTTAATTCAGAGAACAGTAATTTTATCAATGCTCTGAAACAAAATTTAAAGAGTATTTTGAATTTTTCAGGTCTTTCTCCTGCTATGTTGCTAAACAGGGCAGATGTTGATTTTTCAATTTGCAGGTTTGTTAAGCATCATGGAATGTTTTGGTTCTCAATCAAGAATATTCTTCCCAAGTGGTTGCAAAGTCCTATGCCTGAAAATAAATGCATGTCCTTTTTGTTTCTTAGCAGCACGTGTTCTGCATTCAATAGAAGCAGAAAAATAAAACTGATAATGTGATGCTATTTGTTGGACCAATATATGCATTTTTAGACTTCAGCTCTCAGAATGCAATGTGTTTGCAGGTTATTGTCTACAAACACAGCCTGTATAAGGCAAGAAGCAGTTTCATTCACAGGGTGCCATCCCAAGAGCTCTACTCAGAGAATTCTGCACTGTGTTGTCCTTGGTGTTATGTCCATCCACTGAGTGCCCCATCACAGCCAGCTCCTGATCACCTCATCAAAGCAACAGCCCCTGCCCTGGTAGCATTAATGGTGAACACTGTGCACACACAAGGAATTTTAGGAAGAGGGAATGTTTCTCATTTGCATGCACACCAACAGATGGGGTGAAATAATTTTCTCTTCCCTAAAGACAGCAGAGATTGAGCTGCTGAGTTCCCCATAGTATTTCCTATGTTCAACAGCAGTTTCTGACTAATCTGCTGCAGTGGCCTTGGTATCAGTCCTGGATTTCTGTGCAGCAATCAGACAGAGCCACAGAAATCACACTGTGCCACATCCACCTCCGCATAAAGTTGCTGACTTGAGGGCATTTCATCAAGACGGGTTTGGCCCTTTGCAGTCTTCTGCCCCATTAAATCTGAAGATTATGTGTTGTTCTTAGTCACTCCACTGTTATCATAATGGAGAGATGATGTTGTAATGCAGGTCAAACAAACAGCTAATTGTTCCTGGGCATGGCTTGAGCAGAAACAGAATGGAGAGGCTGGAGACATTAATAACAGTACTTGGTGCAATTATAATAGATAGCTTCTATCAGAGGATTTCAAATGGCTTTGTGAGCCTTGCTAGCACATTGCTAAGTGATTTTGATACTCCCATTTGAAAGTGAGACCATCATCTTAA